GATATAAGTCTGATAAAAACACTACAGGTTTCACACATTTCATTAAAGTTCTTCGCAGATATGTACAGGTTGCATTACGATGTATCTTTTGAGATTAGAAAGAGAATTGCAGTGGTAGAGCTCGCTTTAACATCTTCGCACGAATGGGTCGGCTCGCTCGTTGTAATACCATGACCACAAAGAAGACAGGCGTGAAGTGGAAGCAATTCCGCGTTGCGTCTAATGGGTGTGGTGCAGGAAGCCTAATTTTAGTCCGTTTCCCTTTCCACCCTTGTCTTAAGAGGAAAGGATGGAAAGGAAAAGTGGATTTGACGGTGGAGGAAACGCATAGGGAGGGGAAATGTCCTCTTTATGTGCGTTCTTCCGTCAATTAAGGGTAGGCAACGCATCTGTTATTGCAGATGGTTATGGGCAGCGGTCGCTTTCCATTTCAGTACATTCAAGTGGCCGCTTGCTCGTTTGCAACTTACATTATGAAAAAAAAGATTTAAATTAAGAAAATCATAACTAATGAAATCGTGTATAGCTTGCCTTATTTTCCAATTCAAACGAACTCAATCTAACGGACAAAATGTTAGCGGGAAAACTTCATATCTCCGTTATAGGCGAACCTTCCGGCTACAAGTTGATAGACGTCCGTTTTTTATTGCCAAGTAATGATTCTCCCTTGGGCTTAATGCTACGTCAAAAGAGCTTATCCGGACCTTTCGGTGGGCCTTTTTTACTTTATCTGTGAACATGTGAAATGTTTGCAGAGAGATTTGAAAACAGTGACGTGTTTTTTGCTGAAGGTAACTATAAATTCGTAAAAGGATTCCTTTCTAAAGCATGTTATAAAGCCCTTTGCTAAATGAAAGAAATTTAAAAATACCAAGAAAATTTAGTATACCAATAGCGAAAGGTCCAATGTAAAAGGAATAGAGGACGTTACATAGTAAAACTAAAGATATAATAGTAACATGTTAAATTACTCACTGTATACTATTAAACTATGACAAGTTCATATTAATATTAAAAATGCGAAAGTTAGGATGGATGGATGCATGTTCGTAACTACTTACTACGTATCTGCCAATGAATCGATCGCGATAAATTTTGGCACGAAAGTCTAATGGAACATATAGGCTACGTACTTATTTCCTTTCTTAATTCCACGCCGACAAAGTCTGGGGCTTAAGTTAGTTAATAGATTATCAATTAATGCACTTTGTTGTATGTTACAATCTATACTATTATAATAAAGCGTAAACACACACTTCTTTGTTGTCTATGATGACATCAAACACAGCATATTTAGGCTATATATTTTCACGCGATTAAACATTAAATATTTTGGATTAAAATCCTAATGTGGGAAAGAGACGTCATAAGACGACATAAGTTGCTGCCAACATCACGGAAGCAATTGTCATTTGTGCATTTGAATTTTGACATTTCATGCGGATGAAGTCGCACTGGAACAGCTAGTTTTTAATAAAGTTTTTAATGAAGCAATCTTGTACCACAGACAAGGTGACATTCTGACAATTACAGCATTTACAGTAGTGTATGAGAAACAATTGATTTTAAGAATGCAATGAAAAGATAAGAAATAAACATTATAAAGATGTTCAATAAAGATAAATAAACTACTTATTACTATGTGGGAAACCAAGTCGCGTGCCACGTGAGTCACGGCGCAGGGCGTTAAAACCACGCAATTTTCCTCAATTTCATAACATAGGAATCTAAACAAAAAATTATGTTTCCCACATTGTGTCTATACTATAAATGGTAATTTAGCTGATTGTTTTAAATATAGTTACACTGGCTTTCGCCCGCGACTCCGTCCGCGTGGAAATAAAAAAAATAAAGTGAATAACCTATATATTCTTCCAGACTATCCTGCACATCTATACCAAATGTCATCGGAATCCCTTCAGTCGTTTAGGCTACATACTCTAAGAAAGATCCATCCATCTAAACTTTCGCATTTATAATATTAGTATGATTGTTTACGACTTTTGAGTAGAAGTATTTTTTCGAGATTACCGATTGACTGTTGAAAATAAATAAGTAATTTTATATACTAGGCTACCATAAATACATACTCATGTATTTCAGTACACGTTACCAATAGTACGTATATAGAACAACACGTATAGTAAACAATTTTAATTCGAAAACTTATGATTGAATATAAGATTCAGTAATTTGCAGTATTTAAGGTTACCTTTTCATGACCATTCCGCTTCGTTACCGCTTCCCCCAGAGCCTCCACTGATTGCCGTTTATTTCGGCTTCCATTTATCTTATTCTTCCACGGCTTAGGGGTCGAATTAATGTGCTTTTATCCCGGCTATGTTAATTGCCACCCCTAAATTTCACGGCTTAATTATTCTCCGTACTGAATTTAATTTAACCGTTTCGTTAGCTCTTGAATTGTAAGCATAAGAAATAAAGCTACACGAATTAAATTTGGGTGTTGTTTTCAATTAAACATTTATAAACAAGCTATTTGTATTGTTTTATAAAATTTTGCGATTTTAATCTGAATATTTTCCATTGTAACCCCTTACCTATAGTGTTGAAGTATAGTGAGCTGATGACGATGTTTTCGCAATCATAAAGCAATCTCAAATTGGAAAATCTCTAAACTACTAACGCCATCTATGTTTAACTAACAGACACTACCTTAAGCGCCACCGCCCTCTATATAGCGACATTTTCAAACATAAGATATATATTTTATTACTTAAAAAAGTGAATAGCCTATGTGTTCTTCCAGTCTATCTTCTATATCTATGCCAAATTTCATCGAAATCCATTCAGGCGTCTGGTGATCCATTACACAGGGATCACCCTAGTTTGGACACCAGTCCCCTGCCCAAGGGGAAATTAATAAACTATTTTTATTTTTTTTTATTAACCATCCATCCATCTAAACTTTCACATTTATAATAATAGTATGAAGTATGATTTATTGTAGAAAAAAAATCATTTGTAGATTTTTGCATGTTTACAAAAGCTTTATTTTTCTGTAGTTATAAACTATAGTTTGTTATAACGTGTGATACAACAGCAGCTGTCGCGGGCGTAATTATTTCTTGAATATTTTATAGAAAGCTATTACCACGTATACAGACCATTCTTTGAAAGCAAGAGAACTGTCAATGCAAAACCTGCCTTAAACCTAGGCTGTTAATGTTCAATTTTGTTTAATATTTCTAGTCAGTATCATACCCATTGTCTTTGTAATGAAAATTTTCAGAGTTCTATAAAAAAAAGTTACACAACTTTTAATTAATATTTTAACGAAGACACTAATGAAAAGTTAATATAACGTCATAATTTAAAAACTATCTTTCTGTTGTGTAGGTTCTCAGTACATTTAATATGCGTCACGAAAAGTCCCTGAAAATAAGCTTGTGAAACTCTAATATGTGTAATCCTTACAAAAGTGTTACTCATGCTATAAGATGTTGAACATAATTTTAAATTGTGTCAAAAAGTACCTGATGTATTAGTAAAAGACAATTTTAGAATGACGTTCTAATAAAATACACGAATCTCAGTGATTCACAAGTTTCCTTAATGTACTTAGTGTAGATTTTAATGCTAAGTCAATCATAAATGATGGCTATTTTTATCAACCAGTCTATAAAGTATTTTATAATAGGTGTCTCCTCAAACAAAATCTAAATTATGAACTTTTAAACGAAATTTTTACGTCGACTTATGTCAAATTTAGAAGAAAATTAACATCAATGCAACAACGCAATCTCTTCAAATTAAATTCAAATCCATTATACAGAAGCGAGCCTACAATTTCCTCAAAGGCCGGCAACGCATCTGTAGTTCCTCTGGTGTTACGGATGTCCATGGGCGTCGTTGACCACCTTTGTGTTCCCGTCGCTCGTTTGCCCCCTTCTCATATAAAAAAAAACTTTTTGTTTTTCGTTGAATACTACTGGATAGAAGAACAAAATAATATACTTGTATGTCTTGTATTATAAAGGAATGTATAATTATATTTATATGGATACGGTAGGCGTACGACAAGCACGTTCCTTGATACGAGTTTCTTCATACATCTTCAAGAAGCACGTGACTACCGACTTATCGAATTCATTTGTTACACATTTCTATCTCGTGGATTAAAGTGGATAAGATATTTCTTATTATATTTTCTTTTAAAGAATTCTACTGCTGTGTTCTTGTTTATTGTGATCTCATTCTTCACAAAACAGACACATCAATATGTTTTTTTTTTAATTTAAAACTCACCTGAAATTCTAAAAGTCCTATACAACACTAATATAATTTTTACAACCACAAATATGTATTCCGAAGGACGAGTGAAACCAAACAAGATATTAAGTGAAAGTTAAATAACGTTTGTAAACTGACAACAATCAAAATGTAATGAAAAGCAGGCAAATAGTAAGAAGCAAATATTTGAACATTCGTACAACATCGATCCAGGAAAACAAACCTCCATATGTCTCATAAAACAGCTGCACAATAATACATTGCTAACACACTTCATCTAAAGGGAGGAATAGAAATGACAGCATGTTCTTGTACAAGTCTTCAAGCAGTGGAAACTCAAGGTTTGTGTCAAGAATACTTGCTTGAAACACGAATAAAGAAGTATAAATAATTAAAATGGAATATCACCGGGTGTTCGATTGAGGACATGTGTTGTGTCTCACGGTACCTAGAACTCTCTATTGGGTTGTGTGACTTTGAAATTGATACACGTCAGCGTTAAAATTGTGAAGTAATAGTGCTAATAAATCGATCATTATACCAGCAGTAGTCAATGTTATCACACGTGCTAATTTTTATTAAGTTACAGAATCAAAAGAGAGTTTAAATCCATTTAAAGTTGGGAGAATTATTTCATCTTAAAAAATCAACTATAATCATATCAAGGTATTTAACTATAACAAATTAAAATAAAACTAGATTCAATATTACAAAAGGGTAAGACACTAAAAATGTTGATAATTTTACAGATGATAACCAAAATAAAAACTCAGGGCCTCGTGTCCGATTTGATGCCGAACATCAAACTGATGCAAATGTCTGGACATTTCTTATTCAATTACTATCCAGGTAATGTATACTTAGCTAGTAGACAATTTGATTCTCACTATCATACTTAGAGTTATTTAATATTACTTAAACCCTTTAAATATAACTGAAACATCTCTTAGAATTAGGATAACTAGGAATACCATAAAAAAGAGTCGGTGATTTATTTATATGTTTGACCACGAATGTGTGAGAATTTAGAAATTTTTGGCAAAGACTTGAAGAATATAATAGACGAAGTGTATGTATGTTTTTTTGCTACACCTAAATTTACAGAAAATGCTGGAATGTCGACACTTCTTCGTAAAATCTACGCGAGCGTCCATGCATTTCTGATAATTCTGCAATATTTGTGTATGATGGCGAACATGGCGCAGTATTCTGATGAAGTTAACGAGCTGACTGCAAACACTATAACTGTTCTATTTTTTGCACATTCAATTATTAAATTAATCTTCTTTGCTATTAACTCTAAAAGTTTCTACAGGTAAGTTAATTTTTATCTATACTAAATTTTTCAGAGGAATAGCATCTAAAAAGTATATTTCTATTTTAATAGTCATTTTTAATTTTGTGATACATACATGCTTCGTGGGAAAATGTTGTGTTATTAAGAAACAAATGATAATCTTTCTTAATTCACTGCATATCTTGAGGTATTGCTTTCTCCTAATATCCTCATATATTCCTTATTCTTGCGGTTGCTAAGGCTATAGAATTAAATGAATTCGTTGTTCAAATAAGTGAATACTTTTAAAGAAAAAGAAGGTAAAGAAGCAGCAGATCGCCTTTTTCCTCTTTCTTATTTACGGAATTTTATAGCTGTAAAGAAACATTATCAAGCTTTCAACTTTATTAGGTAAAATAGAGCAAGGTTCGATCAGATTCAGTTTGAACTTTGAGGAATACAAAATCAGTTTTAGAGACCGTAGATTCTAAATCAAACTTTTAACTGGGTCGTGCGGTTATAGTTTAATTAAAAGTTTTTGTTTCTAACATTCACGGAAAAGAACTAGGTCATCTATTTCCTACTTCAACTGGATTCCCAAAAAAAAAATACTTAAGCCACTTTGATTATGAAGCTAGATAGAAATCTAGATAAACATCTAGATGATGAAACAAATGAACTCTTAATATTTTCATTACTTCTAAATTTGATTTACATTGCAATTAAATTAATTAACTCAACTACTACATTCTTTTTTAATGTAGGACATTGGCAATGTGGAATCAGTCCAACAGTCATCCTCTTTTCACCGAATCTGACGCAAGATATCATCAATTAGCTCTGACTAAAATGCGAAGGTTATTATACTTTATCTGCGGCATGACTGTGCTCAGCGTTGTCAGTAAGGACTCTTTTTATTATCTTAACAACATGTAAATATGTCAAACAGTGTCTGAAATACTCCTTTGTTTTACATTTTACTTCTTGACATCTGTAACACTAAGCTTTAACGATATTCAAAATAGTGTAAGATTTGTTGTGCCGTTTGCATTTAGGTTGGGTGACAATAACTTTTTTGGGAGAATCAGTTCGCTTGATAACAAACAAAGAAACAAATGAGACTCTAACGGAACCAGCACCGCGACTACCTGTCAAGACTTGGTACCCTTTCAATGCAATGGGCGGGACAATGTATGTGATTGCTTTCATATTTCAGGTATGTTTTAATTTACTAGACATAAAAATACACATTTAATAACAGGAGCACCGTTATCCGTATCTCTTTCTTTCCTACTATTCTGTTCTGCTAAGTGTTAGCCTTACGTTCCAGGTGTATTGGCTACTCTTCTCTATGGCGATTGCCAACTTGCTGGACGTGATGTTCTGCAGCTGGTTGATATTCGCCTGCGAGCAGTTGCAGCATCTCAAAGCCATCATGAAACCGCTGATGGAACTAAGCGCTTCTTTAGACACGTACCGACCTAACACTGCTGAACTGTTTCGTGTATCAAATACTGGTATTTATCTAAATGTGAATCTTTAAATTTATGTAGAGTAAACTTGAACCATCATAAAACGATAACAAGAAAAAATCATAAAATGAACTTGGATCTGTTCGATTTGTCGAAAAGCAAAGTTCCATATTTTATAGCCTTGGCCGCGTTTTAATTTATAGCCAAATTTTCAAGAACTCAGTTAACATTTTATGGAATTTGATGAACGTGTTATCAAAAGTTCCCATTTATGACTTTACTTGAATAACATGTCTCGAAGTCATATTTAATCTATCTTAATATAGAAAAATCCGAGAAGATCCCAGATACGGTGGATCTAGACATCAGAGGAATATATTCCACTCAACAAGACTTTGGTATGACGGCGCGAGGCGCGGGCGGTAGGTTGCAAACATTCGGCCAACCAGCACCAAACAACCCTAATGGTTTGACACAGAAACAAGAGCTACTCGCCAGATCTGCTATTAAATATTGGGTGGAACGACACAAGCATGTCGTAAGGTATACTTGATTATCATTAAGAAGATAAGTAACTATTTAAAAGCAGCAAAAAGCTTCAGATCTTATTTTCATGGCTGTTTTTAGACTGGTCGCTTCAATCGGAGACACATACGGCACTGCTCTGTTATTCCACATGTTGGTGTCGACTATCACACTTACTTTGCTAGCGTATCAGGCGACTAAGGTACATTTTTTTTATATTTGGCCACTGTTACCTATCCTTTTCTAAATAAACGTCTAAATTTACTGATCATAAAATGTTGTAATGAAATAAAAATTCTTTACAGATCGATGGATTAAATGTCTACGCTTTTAGTACAATCGGATATTTGAGTTACACCCTCGGGCAGGTTTTTCATTTCTGTATTTTCGGAAATAGACTAATTGAAGAGGTGAGATGAAAATACCCTTTATTTTAAAAGCGTTTTTTTATTTCATTAAATATGGATAAATATAAAGCTCAGAGAATTCTTATGTGACAGAGGATGTGTATTAGAAGGTATTGAATACATATATGAAGGCTGATAGAAATGTAAGGATGAACACATACTGTGCCGATCTTCCTTAGGTAAAGGGCACGTAATTCATGGCATCTAAAATCATACAATTTACCAGGGATCAAACACCAAAAACGTTGAATAGACGTTACAATATAAAGACTATCGACAACTTCGAACAGATGTTAACGATTCCTTCGATGTTGTTACAATCGGTTTTTGTGCATGTTTCAGAGCTCATCAGTTATGGAAGCGGCCTATTCCTGTCAATGGTACGACGGTTCTGAAGAAGCGAAGACGTTTGTTCAGATAGTCTGCCAGCAGTGTCAGAAGGCGATGAGTATTTCAGGAGCGAAGTTCTTCACAGTATCATTGGATCTGTTTGCTTCGGTGGAGTATTCTTGTTTTACTACGAGCAGATAAGGACAAAATAGTCACTTTTATATTTTTTTTACTACTCGGATGTTACAAGATTTTTTTTAAATAACAACTCAAGCTGTTATTTGGCCGAATACTTAAGTTTTCTTAAACATTTCGCTGCGTAAGCTTACAGTCTGTCAGACAACATTTTAATACAAATTGCAGTTTACTGTTGCCTTATTTGGTATTATTTGAATTTAGTTTCAATATGCCTATTGATGTCAATGTTAATTACGATTAGACTTGCACCGTGTAACTTTTTTTAATAAGGTAAAAGGGTATCTATACTAAAATTATAAATAAGATTTGTCTTTTTGTATGTATTTAAATAATTCAAAAACTGCTAGGCCGATGTCGAAAATTCTTTCAGTTATCAGTGAGTAACATAGGCTATGTTTTTTATTATTTTTTAATTTCAGGCTGGTAAAGATGCGAGCAACGGTTAGTTATCTGTATTACAATTATTATCATTTCTCAGGTGCTGGGTGCAGTAGTCACATACTTCATGGTGTTGGTACAACTCAAGTGAAATTATAAAGTAGCAATACATATTTTAAGATAAATTCTTCTTACTTAACTATGTTCTCTTCTTACTTAACAATTGATTTAAAAACAATTACTTTGTCTTTTAAATTAGCAAAGAATTTAGAATTTTGTATGCATACCAATGTTTACATGCACGTAGTAAATAAAGTTATGTAAAATTCAAAGCACTTTGTTTACAATTAATTATTTTTAGATGTTAGAATAATTTTATTAATTTCCTTTTTATGCATTTAATAAAGTTATTAGTGATGTTGAATTGTGTTGTAGTTTTATTCTTTAACAAAAAGCTTCTACTAAATGTACTCTTTAAAACAAACGAAAAACGTAAACTGATAAATTAAAAAAAATAAAAAGCGATCCTAGGCCCCGGCGAGATTCGAACTCGCGATCTCCTGTTTACTAGACAGGCGCTTTAACCAACTAAGCCACGGCGCCGATTGTGTGGGATACTGAAAAATAACATTGCTATAACTGTCGGTTTCCACTGTCGAAACAATTGTATAAAACAGATTGTCATATCTATCATTCTTTGAAATGCATTAGACAAAACCATTTCTTGTAAAACGATAAAACCTTTATTCAATGAACAGTAATTAAAGGAAAAATAAGTCATTAATAAGCAATTAACGTAATCTAAATGTTTACCTAAGTAATTAAATCCACAGTTTCTTATCAACGTTTACTTACTCTGAAGTAATTAAGTCTGAAAGTTAAGTTCTAAAGCTCTAAATCAAATTTAATTATTTCTCTGCTAACGAGACTTCGCACAACGATTGTCGATTCCCAATTGTTTCGCAGCCAATTCAACTCTTTCGTTGCACAACTAAAAATGTAGTGTGCGCACTTCCACATAAGTTCATAAGCTCAGGAATCTAAGCGCGATTAAACAATTGTCTGATAGTTCAGTCAAAGGTGTACGCGTGCTCTAAATATAATTAGTAATTATTTTTATAACCATTTATAACTGGTTGTTCCCGAGACTTCCAACGCGGAAGATCATTAAAAATCACAAAATCAAAAGAATATTCGAAAGTATACCAATTGCCATTTATCCCACTATCTAAACCTAAGCAAAGCTCTCGAAAATGACGTATTTTAATTTGAATATTTGTGGCGCCGTGTAATTGCTAAGGCTTTATAATAGACACTTACTAAAATGACTAATGATATGATATCTAACACATTTTTGTAAAGATACTCAGCAGTTATTTACATTTTATATTTTTAATGGAATAAACGTAAACTCTATTGTTCCTGCGAATCATACATAATCATCATCATAAAGTTTAGGTGGATGGATGGATGTTTGTTAGAGTTTGTAGTCAAAAAGGCTGAACGGATTTCGATGAAATTTGGTGTAGATGTAGAGGATAGTCTGGAAGAACACATAGGCTACTTACTTTTGTTTTTTTTATTCTACGCAGACGGAGTCGCGTGCGACAGCTAGTTGTAAAATAAAACATTTACGGTTGTTGATTTTTTTAAATAAATTTCTTTGTCATTTATTTTCACTCTTATAAAATTGTCAGTACAAAAGGGTAGATTATATATTTCTACTTGCATAATGCGGACATTTTGTGAATGCGATAGAAATTTATTCAACGCTTTCATCGCAATGTAACATTGTTTAAGATCTCTCGGAGGTAACGAGGGCAATAAAACTCAATAGAGGGTGATTGCGAGCGCCCTCTACACAGAAACTTATTAAGATTCCATTTTCTTTTACCGAACGATTCATTTTCTTGTTTTTCCTATATTATTTTTGGAGTTTCGATAGAAGCAGATTTTATTTACCTGGAAGTAGTGTAGGAGTTACGAGAATTTATACAATATTTTGGTAAGACTAAACAAGCAATGTAATATTTTTTCCTAGTGTAGAGTCAACTCATTCTTTTTCACAAATTCCGCTCATAAATTCTATTTCAATAAAAAATTCTAGTAGAAAATGTCGCATAATATCGTTATATCAAGAAAGTTTTATTTGATTTAGTCTGCATTAATACAAAATGTATCGCTTTCATATCAAACTCCATTTTGCGGTTCATTGATTCGATAAATTTCGACCTCTAGTTTTGAAATGAATGTCAAACTTTGTATAAGAAATATAGGCATATTTTATCTGTATTAAAATCTGCTTATTTTCTATGACATTTTCCTTAATGCTGTCTTTTATATTATGTTAGCTTTCGCCCGCGACTCCACCCGTGTGGTATTAAAAAAACAAAAATAAGTAGCCTATGTGTTCTTCCAGACTATTCTACAACTATGCCAAATTTCATCGAGAATTCGAACCATTTAGTCTATAGGCTATAGTGCTTGAATGTTTATCTAGAGTACCTAACTTATGTAGATGCCTAAATACTAATAAAAATGTATGTTTAACTAGTATTTCATAAATGTAATAACTATTTAATTTGTTGGTCGAAGTACTCCCAATTGGCCATTTTGTTTTGCCGCGCGATGATAACACGAAAAAGTTAAGTTATACAAATAGGTAAGGTACTTTGAAAAGGGGCTTCGTATGATTTCCCTCGAGAAATAACATGGGAACTGACATTTACATAGTGTTATTAAATTCTAAAACAACCATCCAAAAAGTTCCTTACACATGAATTACTGTTGCACAATGTTAATCTATACTGATATAAAAAGGATAGTTTTATATTTGTAACAATAAGGACCTGACCCACCAAATTGTGAATTGTTTGATAACAATACAACGTATAAAATATATTATGGAAATATTGGATTTTGTTTTCTATCTGACAGTGACGTCATTTTTAAGCTATCTGAGCCACTATCAGCTAGTGATAGGACAGGCCCTTAAACTCAAAAACTCCCGATCATATTACAAAAAATCTTTCATCATTAGAAAGCTAAATTATGACAGTTGATACTAGATTTTTTATTCCACGAACGATGTCGTCTGCAAGAGGTCGTGTAAAATTCCTATATACTCTTTACATAGCTTTTTTGCCGAAATAAATTGCTCTGCCGTCTATTGTTTTAAAAAATGGAATAACAACATGCTTTGTAAATGTTTCGTTAGTGAAAACTCACGGTAAGACAGCTCCGGCTACACTAAATTATTAACTTTTCCCTCCGTAGTTATTTGTCCCTGGGGCGTGTTGGAACTTTAATGAAACGACAAAAGCTTTTCCTTACATCGCATGATATAAATATACGATAATAATTTATGAAAAGTGGATACGGTGTTTCACTTATTAAAATATGCTAGGTTACAAGAATTCCGTCCAGAAATTTTTAATCAAGTTCTCAACAGGAATTGATTCTAACTTCAATTACTAGATCTGATCCTAACAAGTTTAAAAAGTTAAAACCGTTTAAATATAAGATTACAGACATGTCTATTAGCTCATGTTTTCATTTTTTCACTTACATGTAGTTTGTTTATACATGTTAGCAATAAACGGTTTATGTGCGAGTCGGTCGTAAACTTCTGGAATAACAAGCTTACAACATTGTATCGTAAAAATATATTATGAAGGCCCCTTCTGTCTTATATGATGTTTAATATGTAACAGTTTAACGCTGGGTTGCTGAAGTTTCTATCTATTTTATCATAAAATAGTGATTCATTAGTGTTAGGTTGATATACATATAAAACGAGTAAAACTCCAATTATGTACATAGTTCGGAAACGTATTTCATGAATTTATCGAACCAAAAACACTGACGACTGGTTTACGTAGCTGGGAATCCTGCCATAAGACACAAATAATGGTTCAAATATGTTTGATCAAACATTTTGTTAAACAAGCACAAACGCATCAAAATTTCATACTATTAAACAAGATTTTGAACGAAGCCGAGCTTTTTTTGGATTGCTTGCGAAATAACCATTGATTTGTATAAATGTTTGAAAATTATAGCTTTCACTTCGTTTTGATTTCAACGCCCTATTTGATGTTAATGACAGTTAAGACTATCTTTATTTCCTCACCACCGTTAACAACTGCTACCATCAGCGCCAAAATGGCGGATATCAAATAGTAAAAAACACCACGTTTTATAACCTGCCAGTGACAAACACTTTTTTTCTTCTTCTTTTTTAAAGATAATACTAACTTAAAAAAATAGACGGTTGTCGGTCTACAAATAAATAATTCATTAATAAAATAAACCTAACACAGGTTCTTAAATTAGATTTCTAGTATAAAAGGTTTTGTACAATTGACAGTAATATAATTCTACAAATTAAGTAGTCGTCGTCCATTTGTAATGAATCAGATTACGGAGTTAGCACTTTGAAGTAGTTTCAGCATTCAACAGAAGGGTTGGAAAGCTTTGCGGTGTTAAGTAAATTTATGTCTACTTTAGTGAATATTACAATTGTTTTAAATCTATTGTTTACAAATGCGTTCAAACTATTACTACATACTATGATAATAATTTATTATTACTTTGATCGTTTCAAAAGGTAGCCATACCAAAACAAATTGAAGAAAAGTCGTCAAAATCAACTACTTTTTGTTTAATTTTTTTTTAATTTAATTATATGGCCTTGTCGGTGTAGCCACCTCCAATTATCCATCCTTTTGACATCCTAATGATACTAATAATTAAACCTTTTAATATTTTAAAGTATTCATATAAGAATCTATATTGAATAATGATGTCCATTCTGTGTAGATCTCAACAATCTAGATAGAAGAGTGTCTAAATTATCTGCCATTAAAATTCGTATCACGTAGCGCAAAGAGCCTGGCATCCAGTGTAAGATCCCGTGGGAACAACAACATTGCAATAAAAATAAATATTATATTACATTGAACGTGATATTTTTAAACAATAATGCTTAGGTAAAATGAAATTTATGTAGAGCTTAGCGTTTTAAAAACGGTAGAAAAGGTGTTCGCGTAATGTTTTTTTTTAATAGTTATGAAAAAGCGTGTTCTTCTTTTACTTTAAACGTGGATTTCGTGGGGGTTTTTATTTGTTTTTGATACTTTTTAACGTCATTTTTCGATATTATAG